GTGACCAAGGCGGTGGTGCCAGAGGAGAGTCTCGTGAGACAGGAGGCGACACGAGCAGGGGGCAGACTTAGGACCAGACTTGGACGCTGCAGCAAACACCTAACCCGACGCAGCTACCTGACCAGACGCAGGGACAGGAGGAGACGCAGTGGTCAGTGTGTATAGGCTCAACCCCGGGCGACGTGTAAATGTGGCCAAGTGTCGGCCCGTCCGAGCGTCCGTGCAGTGGGTCACCCGCTGGCTCGCAAGAGTGAACTGGTTAACTCCCCCATCCTGTAGGTCAGCACCACTCACCAAGTTCGTAGAGAACGAGGGGAGGTAAAGACCAGACATGGTGCCAGGAGGACAGTGGAGAAGTGAGCAAGGACAGGGCCCCTAGAGGGGTCTGCCAGGGAGACTGCAACTGGCCGACCAAGCGGCGTGAGTGTGGTGCGGTCTCGAAAGAAGGAGCGAGAAGCCCCCAAGTCAAGTGTGAAGGTGAGGGAGGCCGAAGCCGACGCGGTACCTGAGAGCGCAGACTCACCAGCACCTGAGGAAGCAGACGCACTGGCACCTAGAGCAGCAGCCTCGCTAGCACCTAGAGCAGCCGCCTCACCAGTACCTAGAGCAGCAGTCTCAATGCACGGGTCGGGCGGAAAACACCTGTAACAGTCACCCTCATCTCTAATAGTCACAGCATACATGGCAGCAAGAATAGCATCAAAGTCAAGGTCAAAGATAGCTACTTCCGCCCTAGACAGCTCACCCCAGCCGGGGATCTCAGTGGCCTCCGGGAACTGGTGACGCCAAGCGTCCGTCAGGCGGCCAAAGCAGCGCTGGGTGGAGTCCGCACCCCCACACTGCTCACCCGCGCGGTCGCCGGTGCGTAGGACGTAGGTGCACGGACCAGTACCCCCACCCCGCTGGCGTGCAGCGTACCACTCATGGAGCTGCTGAGGGGGGGGGATGTCACGACTGCGCTGCTGCTGCTGCTGACCCTACCGGAGCTGACCCTCTGCGTAGCGCAACCCCAACCAGCTCCACCTCCTCCGCCACCGCCTCCTCCACCGCCGCCACCTCCGCCACCTCCGCTCCCACCGCCACTGCCGCCGCCGCCTCCGCCTCCACTGCCGCCACCGACACCTCCACCACCGCCACCACCCCCACCTCCACGCCCACTCCCTCCGCCGCCTCCACTGCCGCCTCCACCGCCCCCGCTACTCCCACTCCCTCCGCCCCCACCTCCACCCCCACCTCCACCCCCACTCCCTCCGCCGCCTCCAGCGCCCCTGCCCCCCTTGCTTTGCCAGGGCGCATCTCCCGCTAGGGGTAGACGCCGCACCGACCGAGTCAAGCCCACCGAGGTCGGCCGCAACAGCAGAGGCAACAGAGGGCAAAAGGGGGGTTGGGGGAACACCCCTCAAATATGGGGGTGCGAGGGTCACCACGAGAGGCTCCTACAGCGACTATGCTCTTTTCTGCTGCTAGGAGGGCCTTCTCAAGGAGGTCAACAGTGAGAGTGGTGGGGCAAACTGAGAGGAAGTGGTCCCTGACTACGCGCAGAGAGTGAGGGAGCCGAGTGACTATGTAGTAGAGGGTGATGTACATGGGGGGGGGGGTTCTTGGCGCAGAACTAAGTAGGAAGCGCAGCGCGGTAGCGAGTGTCACTAGTGCGGAGGTGCGTAATGAGGTCAGCGACTGTGGGGAAGGCAGCAAGGTCAGGGAAGAGGTACGGTAGCATGAGGCGGCTCAGTGCAGCAGTGGTAGGGGAGGAGAAGCGTGCAACTACAGCGTCGTACAAGGTCTGAGCACTCTTGTACTGGCTAAAGTGCGCACGCTCAGAGGTAGGCAGGTGGCGACGCACAGCAAGACGTGCAGCAGCATCGCGTGTGGCCCACTTTGAGCGAACTGTGTTGTCAGCGTCAGCAGCAGGGGCAGGAGAGGCGCCAGAGGTAAGGTCAAAGAGGGAGAGACTGTCTGCCCTATCGCACTGTAGGAAAAGCTGCAGGTCATCTTGCCAGACGTCTAAGTCAATAGCCCGACCCTCGGCGTCAAAAGCGAGGACACTAGGGGTAGCCATGACAGTAGTAGACTAGCAGCGTGAACAGTAGGGTAAGTGCAGTGCAGTGATAGAGGCGCTGCTCTTACCGGACGGGGCGGCTCAGGCGGCTCGGTGGCTCAGCAACAACTGCGGCTCGGCGACTCGGCGGCACAGGCGGCTCGGCGGCTCAGGCGGCTCGGGCGGCTCAAGCAGCTTGGCAACTCGGCAGCTCGGGCGGCTCGGCGCGGTGCAGCTGCTCGGGCGGCTCGAGTGGCGGGCGGCTCGGCAGCAGGCGGCGGCGTCACCGGCTCAGCGGTGACGGCGGGGCCGCGTGGAGGCGACGGCGGGGCCGGGTGGAGCAGTTTAGGGGCCAACAGAGGCGGCGCCGGGGCCGCAACGGTAGGCGACGGGACCAGCAGAGGCGGGGCCGGGTCGGGAAGTGCGGTGTCAGGGCCGGGAAGGGCGGCGCCAGGGTCGCGGGGTAGGCGACGGGGCCGCAGGTCGGCGGATCGGGGCCGAGAAGGGCGGCGCCGGGGTCACGGGGTAGGCGACGGGGCTGCAGGGCGGCGGATCGGGGCCGGGAAGGGCGTCGACGGGGTCGCGGGTAGGCGACGGGGCAGCAGGGCGGCGGATCGGGGCCGGGAAGGGTGGCGCCGGGGTCGCGGGGAAGGCGACCGGGCTGCAGGGCGGCGGATCGGAGCCGGGAAGGGCGGCGCCGGGGTCGCGGGTAGGCGACGGGGCCGCAGGGCGGCGGATCGGGGCAGGAAAGGGCGGCGCCGGTGTCGCGGGGTAGGCGACGGGGTCGCTAGGGCGGCGGATCGGGGCCGCAAGGGCGGCGCGACGCAATCGCTAGGGCGGCGCGACAGAATGGGGGCCGCGAGGGCGACGCTACAGAGCCGCTAAGGCGGCGCGACAGGGTTGAGAGAGGGGAGCGCGACTCGGGCAGGGGCGGAGCGCGCTCCGAGCAGGAAAAAAAAGGACGAATTGGTGGGCCCTAGGAACAATTCCCACGAGGGAACTTGCTCGATACCATGAGAAAACTAGAACGAGAATGATTGAACTATGAAACAGTTGGTACAAGTACTAACCCTAATTGGGTTGTACTCCTTATGGGCCACTACAGCCTACACAAATGTATAAGCTATAATGTTCTAACACGAAGCCCTCCAGACCAACCAATCCGCAGCCGCCACCGCAACAGTCAATGCAGCAGCGAACGTAGCAGCGACAGCATCAGCAGCAGCAGCGGCTCCACACCGACATTTCACGGATCGATGGCACCACCTTCGCCGAACCTCAAAGTAGCTCGCTCGAGGCTCCCTGAAGCGTTTGATCCCAGAGTGAAAGGATCTGACGTTTGACGATTCGTGGCGACCCTCAAAATTTACTTCGAAGCCATTGGCTGTTTGATCCCAAAACACGATGCATCACGAACTTGGCTCACTGCGACAATGTTGCGGGGACCAGCACTCGAGTGGATTTATTTCACTGACGTGCCCAGGGGGGAGAAAATGTGACAGCTGTTTCAGGCAGACCTCATTGAACGTTTTGAGCCAATTAATACAACTTACATGGCGTGGCAGCAGATACACCGACACAAGCTATACGGGAGTGTAGCAAAGTACACGCAGTAGATGGAGCAACTGCTCAACCGCATCACTGACCTGACCGAGGGCGAAAAAATCCAGGCGTACACAGAAGAGTTAAAATAGGAGTTTCGCCGACAAGTCATTGCAGCGAACTACAACAATTACCGCGACATCGTGCGTGTTGCCTGAGCGATACGACGCATTGACTCGAGGTCAACCCGAAACACGACGTTGTGGGCTGAACCGTACATTCGGCACGGAGCGATCGACACCCCCCACGTTCGCCGAACCGATGGATATCGACAAATTTGACGCGAAGCAGCAACCGACAAAATGTGATTTTTGCGCCGTAGAGGGCCATCAAATTTTGTCGTGCTACAAATTGAAGAAGGCACTTGCGGCACTGATGGGTGGCAGCATTAGCCGCAGATCGACCTGGCGATCGCGTAAAGATCCGAAAAAACAGTAAAACGCGACAACGTGGCGACTTCAGAGTGGGTGAAAAAATGAGAAAATGATGGCGCGAATATAAAACGTCACGGCCGGTCGGCATCCAGGGAAATTGTTGAGGCGAATGGAGGCTCCACAAAAAAAGACTTTGCACCGATCGAGAAACTCCAGACGAACACCCACGAAAGTAAGAATTCGTTAAAAGTATCCTATAAAGATACTCTAACGGAAAATTTTGCTTCTCGTGGTTTTCAAGCCTTTGAAAATTTCAGGGGAGATTTAAAGGCCAAGAAAAAGCCTTTATAGATTATTCAGGTACCTGAGAAGTTGGGCAAAGTACTACGGAGCGTAGAAAAGGGTCGTGTGTTCCATGGAGTTAATATTCTCTCCCCGCAGCCCAGTATTAAGGCTTCCCGTTGCCCAAAGGTGAAGCCTACACAGCTGCAAAGGCTTAGAGCAAAATTCTAGGCTCATGAGAAGTTGTACAAGCCTCAGAAAAATCCTCCTACCCCCCAGGTGAAGAAATGAGGAATGAATGCACTAGGAAAGAGGTGGGTGCTAGTAGGAAAACCTAAAAGTGTTGTACCCCATATTGTCTACCCCACTACAGCCTACACAGACTATAGCATATAAGTTTGACACACCCCCATAGGCAAAGTGGGGGAGAACAAGGGGTCACAAGACCAGTCAAGCAAGGCAAAGCAAGCTCAGGGTGGATCACAACGTCACCACACATTCCGAGCACAAGTTCAAGGCCACAAGGCCAGTTCACATGCAAGATCATATATAAACAAGCAAGTGCAGGTATAGAAAGATCAGAGTACAAGCAAGGTCAAGAAGTGAGCAAGTGAGGCCAAGTAGGCACAAGACCTAGCATCGTACAGCAGCGCTGATGATCAGAAGGCGGAAGTGCTTTGGTAAAGATATCAACAGTGTTGGCCTCACATGTCGACCAACTCTGCAACTAAGGCAGACGCAGCAGTGGACTCAAAAGAAGGGTCAGTGACAACAGTAGCCAGGAGACGCGTGACAGTAGGACTGGCAGCACGAAGAGAGTTAGAATCCGGGCCAGCAAGAACAGGAAGAGAGGACTCTGGAGGAGACGGCAACGGGACACGCAGAGGAGCAGTGGAAGGACGCAGTGCCATCTGGTGCGTGCCGAGGACCGCAGGAGGACGCGGACGCGGAGCACGACTACTAGTGCGAGCAGCACGAATAGGCGACGCAGGACAAGACGCAGGCCCACGACGCTCAGCAAGACCTCCAGTAGGACTAGTGTAGGGAGAAGGAGCAGGCAGTGAGGAGGCGGGCTGTAACTGTGACTGCGACTGGTCAGGCTGTGGACACTCTAAGGGAGGAGCAGGACCAGTAGAAGGCGGGAGACCAAGAACCTGCTCAAGGAGCGGAACCAAGTACGGTCGCAGCCGCGCAGCGCCTCCAGAAACAGCAGGGACAGCACCAGCACCCCCAGCGGCAGCACCAGCGCCAGCAGCACCTCCGGCTCCAGCAGCGCCAACTCCAGCACCCTCGGAAGCACCAGCGCCAGCAGCACCATCAGCTCCAACACCATCAGCACCTCCAGCTCTAGCAGCGCCAACTCCAGCACCCTCACAAGCACCAGCGCCCGCAGCACCTCCAGCGCCAACACCAGCAGGACCGCCAGCTCCAGAAACAGCATGGACAGCACCAGCACCCCCAGCGGCAGCACCAGCGCCAGCAGCACCTCCGGCTCTAGCAGCGCCAACTCCAGCACCCTCAAAAGCACCAGCGCCAGCAGCACCTCCAGCAGGACCAGCGCCAACAGCTCCAGCAGCACCCCGGAGGCTACGACAGTACTGAGAGTACCACTCACGTAGCTGCTGGGAAGAGAGAGCTCCCCTAGGCGCAGCACCTCTAGGCGCAGGACCTCCAGACCCAGCACCCCCAGAGACAGCACCCCCAGGCTCAGCACCTGCAGTCTCTGCACCCCCGGGCTCAGCACCCACAGTCTCTGCACCCCCAGGCTCAGCACCCGTAGGCTCCGCACCCCCAGGCTCAGCACCCGCAGGCTCCACACCCCCAGGCTCAGCACCCCCAGGCGCAGTACCTCTAGACCCAGCACCACCAGGCTCACCACGCTCAGTACCTCCTGCAGGACCAGAGTCGACAGCTACCTTGACAGGCTCGACCGGGTCTACCTGGGAAACACCTGAGGGAGCAGGAACTTGGGGAGGCAAGGGGTCTACCATGGCAGCAGCTGGCGTGAGGAAGAGCGGCGGAGGGGGGAGCGGGGAAGTGCGGTAGGGGAAGAGATGGTAGAAGGGGACCGACTCGTCAAAGGTGACGTCCTGGGAAGACAGAACACGACGCGAGGTGGGGTGGTAAAACTGCCAGCCAGGCGCGTCAGGGGGGAAGCCAAGGAAGACGCAGGGAACAGCACGGGGGGACAGCTTGTCCGCAGACAAGTCGCAGACAAAAGCCCGAGATCCCAAGACACGAAACGCAGACGCATCGCCAACCTTCCCCGTCCACCTCAGAGTAGGGGAGGTCTCTGGCAAGGAGACCCGGGGCTGAAGGTTGATCTGATGCGCCGCGTACTGAACCGCGAACGGCTACAGAAAATGGGGAGCAGCCGCATGGATCATGGACGTATGAGCGACGTCCATGACCATACCAATGCGGCGCTCAGCAAACCCATTTTGCTGTGGAGAGGCCAGAAGCGTGAACGTCTGGCGGATGCCCTGTGCACGAGAGAAGGCTCGCAGAAGGGCAGAGGAAAACTCACCGCCTCTGTCGGAGTGCAGACGCAGGACAGGAATGTCCGAGCCGAAACTCTCTCTGAGCTGGAGACGAGCTGCGCGGATCCAGTCAATCAACACCTCAGTGACCTCACCCTTGCTGCGCAAGGGGAAGACTGCGGTGTAACGCGAGTAGTCGTCAACCACCAGCAGGAACTAGCGCTCGTGACCCTGTCCACGGACGCGGGCTGTGCCCCACACATCCATGTGAAGCGTCTGCAGCGGAGCCTTTGTCGGAGGAAACTCGGAGGAGTGAGGAGCGGCGCGCTGCCACCCCTCGACGCGGGGAACGCAGGTGCGGCTAGGCCCCGGAGGAAGAGAAGGGAGGGATCGGGGGAGACCCGAGACAAGGAAACGAGAGGCCATGCCTCGGAGACGGGGCAGGGAGGGGTGACCAAGGCGGTGGTGCCAGAGGAGAGTCTGGTAAGACAGGATACAACACGAGCAGGGGGCAGACTCAGGACCAGACCTGGACGCTGCAGCAAACACCTGACTCGACGCAGCTATCTGAGGAGACTTAGTAGTTAGTGTGTACAGGCTCGACCCTGGCTGACGGGTAAGCGTGTTTAAGTGTCGGCCCGTCCGAGCACACGTACAGTGGGTCACTCGCTGACGTGCAGGAGTGAACTAGTCAACCTCTGCGTCCTGTAGGTCAGCACCACTCACCGAGTTCGTAGAGAACGAGGGGAGGTAAAGACCTGATAGGGGCCGCCGGACATGGTAAGACAGTGGAGAAGTGGGCAAGGACGGGACCCCCAGAGGGGTCTGCCAGGGAGACTGCAACCGGCCGACTAAGCGACGTGAGTGTGGTGCGGTCTCGAAAGAAGGAGCGAGAAGCACCCGAGTCAAGGGTGAAGGTGTGTAACACCTGAGACGACGTGGTACCTGAGAGAGCAAACTCACCCGCACCTAGGGCAGTAGACTCACCAATACCTGGAGGAGCAGACTCACCATCACCTGGAGGAGCAGACGCACTAGCACCTAGAGCAGCAGCCTCACCAGCACCTAGAGCAGCAGTCTCAATGCCCGGGTCAGGCGGAACACATAGGTAACAGTCACCCACATCACTAGTAGGCAATGCATACATGGCAGTGAGGATAGCTTCATAGTCTAGAGCATAGACATCTACCCTCTGCCTAAGTAGCTCTGCCCAGTTGGGGAGCTCAGCGGCGTCGCCAAACTCCGTACGCCAGACGTCGCTCAGACGGGCGAAGCAGCGGGACTCGGCGTGACCAAGCATCCAGCAGGGCTGACAAGTCCGAGCACCAGTGCGAATGACGAACGGACAGCGAGCAGTCCTCCGTGACCCTCCACGCTGAGCGTACCACTCACGAAGCTGCTGGGGCGAAATGACCGCGCGCGGACTACGTTGCAGCTGCGCCTGGCCACTACAAGTAGCTCCCAAACTCCTCACGCCAGAACGACTCCCACTATGGCCACCCCGACAACCCTAAATAGCGTACCACTCACGAAGCTGGTGGGGCGTGAGGGACTCACACGGACGTCGCTGGAGCTGCATCTGGCCACAGCCAGGAGCAGGAGTAGCAGTGGTAGCCGCAGTAGCAGCAGTAGCAACAGTAGAAGCAGTAGCAGTAGTCGCAGCGCGGCCACCCCTACAACCCCAACTAGCGTACCACTCACGAAGCTGTTGGGGGGCGAGGGACTCACGTGGACGGCGCTGGAGCTGCATTTGGCCACGCCAGGAGCAGCAGTAGCAGTAGAAAGAGCAGTAGCAGCAGTAACAGCAGTACGGGCAGGGCAGTGCTCACTAGTGGCGAGAAGGGCAGGCGTACGACTGCGGCAACGGCGAGGCGGCTACCACTTCAGGGCGAGGGCTCCGCGGCTGCTGCAGGGGTGGCTGCTCCATGGGCGGCTGTTGCAGGGGCGGCTGCTCCAGGGGCGGATGCTGCAGTGGCGGCTGCTCCATGGGCGGCTGCTCCATGGGCGGCTGCTGCAAGGGGGGCTGCTCCAGGGGCGGCTGCTACAGTGGCGGCTGCGCCAGGGGCGGCTGCTACAGTGGCAGCTGCTCTAGGGGCGGCTGCTGCAGTGGCGGCTACGCCAGGGGCGGATGCTGCAGTGGCGGGTGCTCCCAGGGCGGCTGCTGCAGGGGCGGCTGCTCCAGGGGCGGCTGCTGCAGTGGCGGCTGCTCCGCGTGCGGCTGTAGTAGTGGTGGGTGCTCCAGGGCGCGGGTTAGGGCAGGGCGCCGCGGCGGGCAGGGGCGACGAGGGAGCCGCAACGGGGCCGCGAGGGAGCCGCGGAGGGGCCGCGACGAGCCACGAGGGGCCGCGAGGGGCCGCAACAGGGCCGCAAGGGGCCGTGAGAGGGGCCGCGAGGGGCCGCGAACGGCCGCGGAGGGGCCGCGAGAGGGGCCGCGAGGGGCCGCGAACGGCCGCGGAGGGGTCGCGAGGGGCCGCGGAGGGGCCGCAAGAGGGGCCGCGAGGGGCCGCGAACAGCCGCAGAGGGGCCGCGAGGGGCTGCAAGGGGCCGCGAATGGCCGCGGAGGGGCCGCGAGGGGCCGCGAACGGCCGCGGAGGGGCCGCGAGAGGGGCCGCGTGGGAGTGGCTAAGGGGCCGCGAGGGGCCGTGATAGAGGGGCCACGAGGGAGCGGCTAAGGGGCCACTAATGGCAGGGTGTCAGTAGAGCTGCACTGTGAGATCCCCGATCAATCCTAGGGGGGTTACTGGCGCGTTTGCCTGGGGGGTTATGGGCGTACTAACCCGCTACTGAAACAAGCCCTTTTAACCCAATGGTCTAGTCATTCGGATTCTGACATGGTAATAGAGCGGTCTCGGGTACGAATCCCGGTGTATGCACATGTTGGCCGTTGCCACTGTGCTCAGTCCTGGGCCTCCCTGTCAGAATATTATTCTTATGTTCTAGCCTGTAGTGGGGTGCTCTATAGCGAGTACAACCCTTCTAGGGTTTGCTATTTGTATCCCCATTCTTGCTAGTTCAATCCTCTTTCTTCTTCTAATTTTGTCATGCTATCAGAGCAGGTCGATCCCCTTGGATCGATCCTGTGGGTGTGTTCCCACCTCGCTTCCGCTGCTACTTTTTCCTCCCGCCGTGCGCCCCGAGGCGCGCGGCGGTGTTCTGCCCGCCGTGCGCCCCGAGGCGCGCGGCGGTTTTCTGCCCGCCGTGCGCCCCGGGGCACGCGGCGGTTCTCTGCCCGCTGTGCGCCCCGAGGCGCGCGGCGGGCTTCTGCCTCATCGGTCGCCGCGTCGCCTTCTGGAGGCGTCGCGACGGGCGACGGGGACCCTCGTCGCGGCCCCGCCCTACAGTCGCGGCCCCGCCCCGACCGTCACGGCCCCGCCCTACGTCGCGGCCCCGCCCCGACCGTCGCGGCCCTGCCCTACGTCGCGGCCCCGCCCTACGTCGCGGCCCCGCCCTGCGTCGCGGCCCCGCCCCTCGAAGCGGCCCTGCCCTACGTCGCGGCCCCGCCCCGACCGTCGCGGCCCCGCCCTACGTCGCGGCCCCGCCCTGTGTCGCGGCCCTGCCCCTCGAAGCGGCCCTGCCCGACCGTCGCGGCCCCGCCCCTCGTAGCGGCCCCGCCCCTTGTCGCGGCCCCGCCCTCCAACCAAGCCCGTGGTGGGTCCCTTTCACCACCCCGCCCCCCCCCCCCCCCCCCCCCCCCCCCCCCCCTCCCCCTGCCATTTCCCGTCGCCTGCCGAGCTGTGGGGTGGCGGGTATGGGGGTGATCGGTGTGCCTTCCTCCCTTTGCTCCTCCTCCTCCTTCGTCTCCCACTGCTGCAGCTGTCGCTGAGGGGGGTGGTTGTGTGGGAGACTGGGGTTTAGGGTTTAAGGGGGGGTGCGTGGGAGTAGAGCTAGCGGTGTAGCAGTGGGTGTGTATCAGGGGGGTGGGACTGTTTGCGGGAGGTTGAGCGGAGGCTGCCGGCTTGTCGTCCGCAGCACCTGTAGTCCGGGGCGCTGTCCCGGTAGCCCAGTTGTAGCCAGCTGTGCTAGCCGCCCGTGGGTCCGTTGCCCGTCCGCCGCTATTTGAGCCGCGGGGCCTGTTACTCCTGTAGTCCGGGCGCTGTCCGGTAGCCGCTGTGCCAGTCTGCCTCCTGTTGCCCGTGTGTCTGCAGCTTCAGCCGTCGCCTCCTGTCTCCTCTCCCCTCACTCTCCCTCCTCCTCCTCACTTGCCCGTTGTGACTACCACTAGCTTTGCTTATAATTGTGAACTCTAAACTATTTCTTCTTGAACTTGTGCTCAGAATGTGTGGTGACATTGTGATCCACCCTGAGCTTGTTTTGCTTTGCCTGCTCTGCTGATTACACCCCACTTTGGCTATGGGGGTGTGTCAGAATATTATTCTTATGTTCTAGCCTGTAGTGGGGTGCTCTATAGCGAGTACAACCCTTCTAGGGTTTGCTATTTGTATCCCCATTCTTGCTAGTTCAATCCTCTTTCTTCTTCTAATTTTGTCACTCCCAGTGTGGGGGGGTGTCAGACGCATTGAGCCACCCCGGACATGTAGCACGCATCTAGCTCGACGGGATGAACCCTCTGCTCAAGGGTCTATTCCAACACGGGTACTCCGTCGACGCAGAGATCGCTACAGCACAGGCCAAGAAGCTATTACAGCGGAAGAAAGACTTAGCTGTAACGAAGGGTTCAGGAAAGATTTGGGTGCCGAATTACGCCCCGCTACGGCAGATCCTATTGGAGGAATTTCACGACGTACCTTACGCGGGACATTTCGGGAGCAACAAAACATTAGCAAGGATTGCGAAGTATTACTACTGGCCCGGGATGGCAGCAGACGTGCAGCACTTCCTCACCTCATGCGACACGTGGCAGCGGATGAAGAGTAGCAAGCAGAAAAAAGCAGGGTTACTTCAGCCTCTACCCGTACCGGAGCAGCCATGGCAGGTCGTTAGCATCGACTTCATCACATGA